TCGCTTCCCCCGCACCCTCATTCACCCACGTAACTCATCCTCCCCACCATCCTCTCCATCCCTCCACCCTCCTCGTCCTCTTCGATCGTCCTCTTCCTCCGGCTGCAAATCTCCTCCCCTCTTTCTCCTCATCCTATCCCTCCTTGTGCCCCGCCTGCCCCTCCCCCCCCCCTCCCCCCCCCCGTTGCTCCTCCTCCTCCTCCTCTCCTCCTCATGCTCCTCCTGCTCCTCCTCCTCCCTCCTCCTTCTCCTCCTCCTCCTCCTTCTCCTCCTTATCCTCCTCCTCCCTCCTCCTCCTCCTCCTTCTCCTCCTCCTCCTTCTCCTCCTTCTCCCCCTCCCCCCCCTCCTCCTCCTCCTTCTCCTCTTCTCCTCCTCGCGCCTCCCAGGTCGGCATCAGCGCTCGCCCGAAGTTCAGCAGCGACGGCATCGGCTGGGAGGTGTGGGTGTTCAAGAGTGGCTCGGACAGTGGACAGAAGTGGTCAATGACGAGCAAAGCTGGGGCCACTCTCGAGGCCACCATCCAGCGAGCCAACGACACGTTGGAGAAGCTCGCGGCCGCAGCCGCCGCCAAGGAGAGCGTGGCCGAGGCTGTGGAGGGCGCGGCGGCCGAGACCAAGGAGGGCGAGGCGGCCGAGGCCAAGGAGGGCGCGGCCGAGGCTATGGAGGGCGCGGCCGAGGCTATGGAGGGCGCGGCCGAGGCCAAGGAGGGCGCCGCCGAGGCCAAGGAGGGCGCGGCAGAGGCCAAGGAGGACGCGGCCGACGCCAAGGAGGGCGCGACCGAGCCCGACGCTGAGGAGGGCGAGCCAGCCGGCGATCAGGGCGGCGAGGATGAGGAGGAAAAGTCCAACGACGACGGCTCGGACGGCGAGCAGGACAAGGACTCAATGGGGGCGAACCCCCTCCTCATCCTCCTCCTTTTCTCCCCCTCCTCCTCCTCCTCCTCCTCCTCCTCCTCCTCTCCTCCTCCTCCTTTTCCTTCTCCTCCTCCCCCTTTTCCTCTTCCTCCTCCTCCTCCTTCTCCTCCTCCTCCTCCAACTCCCAGGATGTCCAGAATAGTTTCCAAAGAAAGGCATCCCAGAGGCCTCTAATCCACGCGAGCGGGGGCATGAGGCATGAGGAAAGAGCACGGAGGGGAAGAAGGAGGAATATGAGGAGGAGAAGGAGGAGGAGGAGGAGAAGGAGGAGGAGGAGAGGAGTGGGAGAAGGCCGAGGAGAAAAAGGAGGAGGACGACAACGACAAGGGCGAGCAGGCTGAGGAGGAGTAGGAGGGAGACAGAAGAAGGCGAAGGAGGAGCAGGGGAAGGAAGAGGAGGAGGGGGGGGATGAGGAGGAGAAGGAGGAGGAGGAGGAGGAGGAGGAGGAGGAGGAGAAGGAGGAGTCCAGAGCCTTTGGACGGCCCGCGGGCGCCTGATGGCGGTCTCGGGGGTCCAAGGGCGGAGGGTCGACGTGTCAGTTCGAACGCCTCCCCCTCCTCCTCGTCGCCCTTCTCCTCCTCTCCTTTCTTCCTCCTGATCCCCCCCCCTCCACCTCTTGGAGCTGGGGGCCCGCGGGGGACGGCCGCCGCGGTTCCAACCCAGGAGCCGAAGCTGAAGCGGAGCCGGACCGAGGCGACTGAGTGAGCCAGTGAGCATAGTGAGCTGTCGCGCCCCCGGCTGCCCCCGACTGGAGCATAGTGAGCTGTCGCGCCCGCTGTGGAGCCCCAGTGCGTCAAGGCTGATCCCCTCTAAAGAGCCAGAACCCGACCAGCCGTCAATTGGTCGCGAGACCTTGTTCCTTATCCAAGGCCTCCGCCGTGATTCAATTCCCCCCTAGCCTTCTCCTCCTCCTCCTCCTCCTCCTCCTCTTCCTCCTCCTCCTCCTATCGGTCCTCCCCCATTCCCCCTCCTCGCCCACCCGCCCCCCTTGCACCCCTACTCGTCCTCGTCCTCGTCCTCCTCCTCCTCCCTCCCCTCCTCCTCCTAGTCCTCCTCATGCTTTGGCCCCCTGCGGAAATTCCCGCCCGCCCACCGGCCACGCGGGGTAGCCGCGGAGGTCGGGCCGTGATGCCTGCGCGGGGGGGCTATCACAGCACGTGGAAGGACATTCATGGACATGGAGGGGCTTGGAGGGACATGGAGGGACGCAGGAGGACATGGAGGGACATGGGGGGACACGGGAGGACATGGAGGGACATGCAGGGACATAGGGGGACATGGAGGGACGTAGAGGGGCACGGGAAGACATCGAATGCCATAGAGGGACATGGGGGATCCGTTGTGCTCTGACAGGTGACCCCAAGGGGCACGAAGATCATCGCACTTCGCGCGTCGCGGCCTGGGCCCAGGGGGTCGGCGAGGGCGCGAAGGTAACCGCGCCTCGCGCATCGCGGGGATGCGCGAAGTAAGGAGGTGCGGAGGGGCCAGATGTATGCCTTTGCATGGGCACGGGGACGTAGACGGTTGGCTCAAGCCGAAAGATCCACGAATTCCGGTATGAGCCCAATCAAATTCAGAATCGCCACTGATTGCTCTGGAACTGATGCCCCTCTTTTCGCTGTTCGTTCAGCTACTGCCGTTCGAGACGGACGTGTTATAGTGTCACACCGCTGGAGTAGCGACACGTGCCCGTCAGCGAAACAGTTTATCTTGAGGAACCACAAACCCAAGGTGTGGTTCGATGATGCGTGCGAGCGGGACGAGCGATGTTTGAGCAAAGTCGATTGCCTCGCAGTGGGACTTCCTTGTCAGCCATTCTCTGCAATGGGGCTTCGTAGGGGGTTCAATGATAAACGGATGCGCGTGTACAAGTCTTTCCTCCGCACCCTCCAGCACGGTAGAATACGATCTTTTATATATTATGGCCTTC